AATATCGCGCTTCGGCCTTGTCCCTTGTGCACAGAGATTTCTCCAGGTTCTCAGAATCTTTTCATAGTATTAGATGCTGTAGATGGTGATATATTTAAAATCTTTGCAATTTTACGTTTAGGAACATTATTCTAAAATGGTTTGACAATTTTTAGATGCAGCTTTTAACAGATTGGTGAACCTCTGCCCATCTTTACCTATGAGACACTCTGACCCTCTAAGATGCCCTTTTTATACCCAATCACGTTACTGACTTGTTGCCAATTAACCTAATTAATTGGAAAAGGTTCTTCCAGCTCTTCTTTGTAAGTACCACTTACTTTTCCAGCTTTTTGTTGCCCTGTCCCAATTTTTTTGAGATGTGTTGCTGTCATCGTTTTCAAAATTACCGTATTTTTTTCTTAAAATAGTGCATTTTCTCAGTTTAAACATTTGATATGCTTTCTATTGTGAATAAAATCTGGTTTTATGAGATTTGCAAATCATTGCATTCTGTATGTATGTAGATTTTACACAGTGTGCCAACTTTTTTGGAATTGGGGTTGTATCTTCCCCCACCCATGTACAACGGGGTTTGGGTGTGGTCAAACGTAGCTTCTGGATGCCTCCCCAAGTCCTCCTGCTCCTCAATGCTCTCAACCAAACCCTCGCGCTACTCCTGGTGCTGCCTCACAGGGATGGAGTCAGGTTAATGTGGGCCCTGAGACACCAGGAAGTCCTCCTTTTCTTCCTTCTGCTTTGTCTCTACTGCTCTGTGGTGACCACTGGGATTGTGTAACTGATCTCGACCTTGTGAAACAAATGGCAAACTTATCAATTCATAACTGATCTCCACCTTGTCATGGCTCACCATTCTGGTTTCTTCTTCAAATGGTGACAACAAGGTACATGAATCCTGAGTGAGGAGCCACTGATATGATAAAAATCCCCTTGATCCCCTAAGCCTGTCCTTGTCCCATACTAGCATGAATACCAATGTTTGGCCTACTGGTGCAAGTGCAAATGCTATAGCATACTTATTTGCCCTGCCTTAGGATATAATGAAAGCCATGGTACCTAACTAGGAACTACTGCATCATCAGGTTGAGTATGTGTGTCAGTCACAATATGTGTGTGAATTGTTCCTACCAAGGGGTGCACAGCAGGTTGCTGTCATTGTCATGAATGACCTTTGGTGTGGGGTCAGCCAGCTCTGGGCCTGCTCTGGCCCATAGTAAATCATGACAACAGTTTGGTGAGAAACATACGTGGAAAAAGACTTCTTCCTTCCAGTGGCCGAAGGGATCCAGTGGCTCTTGTCCCCCAGACATACCAACTGAAAAACAATATGGCATTTTGCCTGAGGTGCAGTCATCAAAGGAGGCCAATGAGGAGGGGGGGGGGGAGGATGTGACTGAGCTGTCAGCGGTGTGCCCCATCTTGAATCCTTCCTGGCTGTCAGTAGAGTTACCAAGTGGGGCATGAAGTAGATGTAACGCCCCTGCTCACGCTTACTGGACCATGTATCTGTGGTCATGTGGAGCTTACTGCTGGATGCCTGGTCCAGCTACATTAGGATCATTAGCTTCCACATGACATGGGAAGACTTCAGTAGCAGGAATGTAAATAGCTATAAAGCCAGCAACTTAACCAAGCTGGCTTTGAGATGCTGTGCTTTGGTGTGACTGGGTGCATATATTCTTACTTATATTCCAGAATCTGGGGAACAAACACCTGCCTAGTCAAGGATACAGCAAGAGATACTGACCAGTATCATACATATGCTGCTCCCATTTAGCTTTGTGGTAGCGATCATGTGTCAGCAAAATGTCTAATAGATTTGCCACTTTAGATATGTTGTAGACAGAGGCTGCAAATCACCATTGTGCTATCTGTGGAAAAAGGCCCACACTGCTAAGATCTGCAGAATGGACCTGAGGAAACTAGTAGTCTACACCCGCCGGATGGTAATGCCATCCGGCGGAATAGAGCCGTTGCTCCCTCCATTTCTCTGCAACCTTCCCTTGGATGACATTCTGTCTAGCTGGTGTTGTGCTTCTCCCTCACTTTCTTCCTCTGCTATCTCTGGCACAGAGGCTCTGTCTGAGGCCTTATCATCATCCCCATTCTTCTCATTGCTTGAGCCAACATAGCAGTCAGGGGCGGATCCAGAGTCTATTCTCGGGGGTAATATTTTATTTAAGACGGTTTCCCGGCCAACTACAATTAAGCCGGCCAAACAACATGCAGCCGGCTTCCCTGGCAATCAGGAAGCCGGGCGGCATGTCATTACCCGCTGCCGCCTTCCTGATTACCCGGGAAGCCTGCTCCATGCCAGTGGAAGCACCGGTATTGGTATTCAGTATTTTATCCACATTGATTGCGCTAGGAAAATGTGAATACACACACCAAGCGCAACATATTAGCCTACATTTGGTATTCAGTATTGGCGAGTACCAAATGCAAAATATCGGTACTCGCACTTGATACCGAAAAACCGGCATTGGTGCATCCCTGGTTTTGATTAGAACTTGCTATCGCTGTGAAACTTCCCCCCGCATTTTGGGGCGAGAGGAGGCGTGGCGGTGCATTTAATTCAATGACAACGCTTCCACCCCCGCAGTGCGATCGAACGTGTGGCAAAACTTTGTCAGCGTTCCGTTCCACTGCAAACGCAAAAAATAGGGCTTGCATTATTTTTTTGCGTTTGCAGTTAGGCCTTGTTTACCCCGAAAGCGTGTGCGTTCCAGAGCGGTAGCTGCTGGAATGCACCGCGATCGCATAGAAACTTCCCCTTGCGTTTTGGGGCAGGAGGGGGCGTGGCGGTGCATTGTATTCTATGGCACCGCTTCCACGCCCCCGCAAGCCGTGTGATTGAACGCCTCGCAAAACTTTGCGTTGCATATTTTTTGTGTTTGCAGTGGAACGGAACGCTGGCAAAGTTTTGCGAGGCGTTCAATTGCACTGCGGGCGGGGGCGGGCGTGGAAGTGGTGCCATTGAATACAATGCACCGCCACGCCCCATCCTGCCCCAAAACGCAAGGGGAAGTTTCTCAGCTATCGCAGTGCGTTCCAACAGCTACCGCTCTGGAACGCACATGCTTTCGGCGTGAACAAGGCCTTTCTGTGACCTCTGCAGAACGCACCAGCGTGGCCCATAAAAACTCAGCCCCAGGACACCAAGTCTCAGCTGCAGCTTTCCCCCCAGCCCTCTGCTGGCTTACCAGTGCAGCGAGAAACAGCCTCAGGCTCTGCAGCTCAGCCCCCACTGTGCGTGCTTCTCCTCTCCTTTTCTGTTGCCCGCTCCGCGGCCGTAAGAAGCAGTCACTCACTGACACCTTGCCGATCCCTGGCCGGAACATACAGCTCCCTCCTCCGTGTCACAGACTTTATCCACCACTGATAGCAGTACGCTACAGCTACCGGAACATCACTGGCAATTGCTTCTCCTTGCCTGTTGTTCTTCCCTCTGTGCTTCTGGCAGTCTCATCTTTAACCTTGAGATACAATCAAATCCTGCACATCCTCCAGCAAAAAATTACTAATGTTTGTCAGGCACATGTGAACTTCACTTGTTTGGGATCACAACTGCGGAGCGGTATTTGGCAAAAAAGGCTACTCAGGGTTGAGTCTCAGGCGTCACTCGCAATCTGAACGGCGAGTTTGAGACTCAGTCATCACAGCCAAAGCAAAAAGGTTCAGTATCAAACAATGGTTATTTAACTCATAACCTGAATAGTGACACAAGGCACGAACTAAATAATAACTGATGGTTGCTAACGGAATCCCAGGATGCGGTTACCACCTAAAACAGACAATCCATACATCAATGAGGATTTGTATTGAAGTGAGCTAAGCTCCAATAGGAGCAGTACTTGCGGTTAGTGACCAGGTGGTTGCAGCGATGAGTTGTAGAGCAGAGGGCATCCAATGCACAGCGGGGTGGCAGCAGGTCCAGGGATTTGTTTGGCATCCAACGAGGTAGTAGGTTCAGGAGGCAACAGGCGTTCTAACCTCAATTTTGGAACGCCATGTTGCCTCTCTGACGCTCTTCAATAGTGCCTGGGCATGGGCAGGAGCCCCGGTTCGTACTGCACGACTTCCACGTTCAAGCGTGGAACGCAGCCGCCGCGTCACGAGTAACCTCGAGCGGCTTCCAGCGTTCCACAGTGGAACGCAAGGAAGCCGCCGCTGACACAGGGGAACGCGGTCCGGCGGCGTTACAATGTTGTGCTGAAATATAACTGCTGATTCCTTCAAGCCAGTTTGCAAAGCAATTGCAGGATTAGTAGAAAAGGAAGAAGGCTTTGTTATTCATTCCACCACCTTCTCCACCTCCTCTGCATGCTCTGGCTTTATAGCACACCCAATGCCAGAAAAGAAAGGTAGATCTGCCTTGCCTCTCAAGGTGCAGCCTGCCCACCACTTTGGGCTGCAAATCCAAAAACTGCCTGCACCCTAATAGCTGCATATGAAGAATCTCTGCGTCTCCCTTTAGGTTTCCCAGATTTGCCAAAAGCAGGAGATTGCCTAATTGAATTGCTAGTTACTGTATGTCAACAGGGGGATGTGGTGCTTTGGTGTACTTCACAATATGGTAATGTGGTGCAGTAAACCGGATAGCAATAGGATGAGATGAAGGTGCTGCTGAGCCAGTGATGAAGGTAGAGGGACAGTTTCAGAATCACTATGGTGTTACATTAGAGATAAGATCAACTATGATTTTCAGGTACAGTGTGCTGCTGAGCTAGACATGAAATGCAAAGACATTTCCTCGGTATTGAACTGCTGATTGGGGAAAACGCGTATGAGAAAGCCTTGTCTTTCAGCTACTGGTGAACATCACAATAGTGACATCCACTCCAACTTATCATGTTACAGTGCAGGTAGTCCTATTACATGCCAACTTGTTTGCGGCATATGGCACTTCAATATAAACTGCAAGTTTCAAGTATTTGAACTACCTAAAATAAAAAACGTGTTTTAAATCAAAGAAACACACAAAAAGGTAATTTGTTTATTTATCCAATGCTATCCTTTTTGTTTATCATTTCTCCAAATAACTTTCTCAGGTAATGCTTCATCTCCTGGTTTCTTAAACTATATATAATAGGATTGACCAAAGGTGTAACAACTGTATAAAGTAAAGATAACACTTTGTTGATATCCAAGGAAAATCGAGACATGGGCTGCATGTACATGGCTGTTATAGTACCATAGTAAATCATGACAACAGTTAAGTGAGAGGCACACGTGGAAAAAGACTTCTTCCTTCCAGTGGCTGAAGGGATCCGCAAAATTGTGGAGATTATGAAGATGTAGGAGAGTACAGTTAAGAGGAAAGAGGTGAATATAAGTCCAGTTGCAAGTGTGGAAATTGCTGTCTCTGTGAATCGGGTACTGCTGCAGGACAGTTTAAGAAGAGGTTGAGAATCACAGTAGAAGTAGTTCACTTGATTAGGACCACAAAAGTTAAGTTTAGATATTAATACTACAGGAAGGATTGGTGAAATAAAGCCTCCAATCCAAGACCCAGAGGCCAGCTGGTGTGAAGTTAAGTTGGTCATTTTAGAAACATAATGCAGAGGCTGGCAAATAGCTAGGTACCGATCATAAGCCATGGCAGTAAGTAGATAACACTCGGATGCTCCAAGAGAACTGAACAGATACAGCTGTATCATGCAGTTATTAAAAGAAATACTTCCGCTGTTTGTTAAAAACCTGGATAACATTTTTGGGACAATGACTGAAGTGTACCAGATTTCCATTGCAGATAGATGGTTGAGGAAAAAAAACATAGGTATTTGCAACTTGTGGTTTGTCAACACTGTTATGAAAATGGTGAGGTTCCCTGTAATAGTGAAGATGTATATCAGCAAGAAAAGTAGGAACATCAAAGGGTAGATTTTCTTTAAACTGGGGAAACCCAAAATAATAAATTCAGTTACTACTGTTTCATTGCTCTGTCCTTCCATTTCACCACGGGATACTGAAAACAAAATCAAAGATCAGAAATCACTACGTATAAAATGAATACTCTGGGATCTGTTCACAAAGAAGGTAAACTGAACAAAATACATCAGTTTTTTGTACATGACTTTTCTTTGAAGAAAAATAGCATAACATTGTCCCCATTATTTATAAAAGAAGCAAACTTTGAAAATGCCAAACTGAGATAAGAGATTTTCTCACTGTATTCAAAAGTGATATACTAATTTAACCACTTCAGTACCAGCATATTAAACCCCCTTCCTCGCCAGGCCATTTTTCAGTGCTGTGAAACTTTGACAAATTATTTTTTACATTTTTATTTTTTAGCCAGGTAGAGCCTGCTTTTGGTGTTAGTTAATAACTACTTGTATTTTTTTGATTTTTTACTATATAAAGGAAAAAAGAACAAACAAAGTGAAAAACAAGTTTTCCCTTACTTTATGTTTTGTAAAACATAGCAAATAAAGATGCCAGGACACTACCAAAACCCCAGAAATGACCCTGTTTTGGAAAGTAGACACAAGGTGATCTGATTGTTTGCCATTTTTTTTAAAAATAAGGAAACATGCCGGTAATGAAGGAATTAAAACATACTGCTTGATAATGGTGCACTAATGGTGCACTCTGCATAACCTGCACAAATGTACAGGCTATGCAGAGAGAGAAAGAAGGAGTTAATGCATAGGTTAAATACATTGGGAGGTTGATGGGGTTAATGTATAGATGTGATAAGAGAGGTGAGGGGTTAATATACAAGTCAGTTCGGAGACAGGATAGAGCTGACATATACTGTAGAGGGGTGAATGAACACTAGTACTGGTTGATACTGTTTCTGGTACTGGATGACACTGGTACTATATTTGCCAGTGTCATCCAGAACCAGATGGATGCAATAAGGAAGTTTTCTTACCTTTCACACATCAGTCAGTGTGTGGGAGGAAATTGGGAGCCAGCTGCTGACTGCAGCCATTGTTTACCATGTAGATGCAGTGATTGATCTACATGGTAAACGATTGATCACAGCAAAAGATTGATCACAGTGATCACATGGTACAGAACCCCTCTCAATGGCTCTGTACCATCTTTTTGTGATCTGCATTGTCCATTGGACAGTGCCATCGCTATACTTGCACATGTAGAGGGCCCAAAATATTGTCCCACCCTGAGAGGACTGCTGTCCGCACATTTATGTAAAATTAGTAATGGCAAGTGATTAAAAAAAACCAACAGATCAAAAGTTGTGAACTTTTTTCAAACAGTAAACAGAAAGTGAAAACTTTTAAACAAGATGCATAATAACCCATCAGGTTATCACATGGCGTCAGTGCCTCTTTTTTATGGAATGATGACAGCTGCCAAAGTAATGCTTTGGCATAAATTCACCTCTCTTTCACAGAAGAGCAGCCCAAATGCCATTAATATAGTGTTTAAATGTGCATACTTTGTCCGCATTTTTTGAGAGTGGAGCCAGTTCACCACTTCAAAAACCTTTAAAGTGGTGGGAATCACAGTTGGCACAAACAATGTAGCAACATCTGTGCTAATATAATTCAATAAAAGAACAGTAACTTTAATCCATCTCCCTTTACTTCCTGTAACTCTGGCACATGTGACTAGGACATGAGACCATGCACATCATCTCAGGTGGAAAAATGTATTTTCCTGAGATCTTGTGAGATTTTTCAGTCTACAGATAATATTTCCCAGCTATGCACTGTGACGTAACCTTCCCAGGATGCATATCTTAGGCCCGGATTACATCACTAATGCCTAAGAGGACCAGGAAGTGGAAAAACTGTAATTGTAAGTAAAAGTGAACAATGATTTCATATCAGGATGCAGGGCTGCATGTTGATGTTATTTTTCATTAAAGGGGGTAAAGGCCCTCTTTAAAGGAAATGGTTATTTTTATTTTTACATTTTGAAAAAGAAAATAATAGGCAAAACATAACTATGTATTTATGAATTGGCCCTCACTTCCCATTATCTAAACTGCAGAGAGCTGTGATAATTACAGAATATTTGTTTCAAACTATCCATAACATATGCACCACCCTCAATAAACTAACCATACATGTATTGTAGGCACCCTCCTCCCATTATAGTCCTTATCTGCTTACCAATGAATTCAGCATTATACTTTCTTCCCATAGACTCTTCTTCCCTGTAAGCTAATCCAGCAGAAATTCTACACAGCCCAGTGAATACCATTTATCTTCAGAGACTGTGCATGAAGATATCTAAATGGCAGTTTTACCCTGGCATTCAGACTTCCTCGGTGCAATTGTACATCTATAAGGGGCTTAATAACCATGCAAAACTCAACAGGTTAAAGAAAGACACATGTTCATCAAGTTCAATCTTTGTGTTGTGCATGTGTGTGTATATGAGTCCCTGTGTGGTCTTAGTTTTTAAGAGTACCTGTATCACTGTATGTTACGTTCTCTTAGGATGTTATCTAATTGATTTTTGAATGAATCAATACTCTCAGAAGAAAAGAACAAAATAGTAAAAAAAAAAAATCACAATTTGTAATTTTTAGCCCATGGTGCAGTTTCCCTTACCACGCTGCCTTAGGTCTGACCCACAAGTGTCAGTGTCAGAAATTCTCACTAAATCGCAGATGTATTGAATGATTTGTTTACATACTACAAAGGATTTTTGTGATGTAAAAAAACAGATCTGTTATCTTTCAATTTCTGATGTTATATATCCTAACCTCACAGTTTCTTGGTATGGTACAATAAACACCTCTATGACAGCATTCTTCTTGGCAATTATCTTTTGGACTTCTGTGTCTTAAATAATAGAGCAAACTCTGCTGGGACGGACAATCTACTGTGCCTCATATATACCCTACACCTACACTTATTAGTGTAATATTCCATTGGGTGTCATTAACATGTTGCATCCATCTGTGTGAGAAATGTGTTTGATAATGAAGCACAAACAGAAATTTGAAATTGTATTTGTGGCCCTTTTATATAATACAGTTTATTTTATAATAGTAATAATAATTACGTCGATGTCCGTGACGTCACCGGATCTCCGACGGAAGACTCGGAAGCGGGCGGAGAGGTGAGTACAGATCAAAAGAACTTTGATCGATCAAAATAATTTTGATTGATCAAAAAATTTTACGATTAATCGAGGGATTAATCGTTAATTTCCGCAGCCCTAATTAATAAGAAAAGCATTTACAAAGGATACATGTTCAAATAGTATACATTAAATAAAATTAGTATATATAAAATGATACCTTTTCTACATTGATAGCCTAGAAAGCTATCAGTTATAGTCGGGTGCAGTGAAATAGGCGTCGTGTACCAACCGCTGTTGCCGACCACTAATTTAAGTCAATTTGGCTTTACTGCAGTGAAAATCTAGAACATTTAATAATAACAAAACTTGCAGATTTGAGAAGGGGGCCAAACTGTATTACTATAAATAATGTGGAGAAAAGTCAAGACCTGCTGTCTGACATGAGTGTCTGGCTTAGAAAACTGGCTGAGCAGAAGTTAGCTTGCAGGTAGGCCCATTGGCACATATTTATTTCAACTGTATATTTAGCTACTTGTCGACATTTACACTTTAATCTGTTTGAAACAAGATGCATGCTTTGAGTTGAACCTCATACAAACTCCAGCAGTTAAATCTGAAGGAAGGCAAAATAAATACACTTGCAGAACTGTTGCTGGTTTTGCTTCATAAGGGGAAAAATAGTTCCTAACCCAACAAATGCAGTTGGATCAAATCTGTTTTTTTGTAAATAACTCCAGACAAAAAATGGATTGTCATACTGACCTTGAATGTTGTTTTACACATTATCTTAGTCAAAAACAACACACGGTTATTATTGTAAAGCACAACTCCAATTAATTTTACTAGCCTGTACTTGAATCCTTTCCAAATGACCTATGTCTAAGTGCTGTGCTTGATATATAACTGTACCACAAATCCAAAATGGGACATTAAAGGAGAACTGTGGGGTTAAGGCTTTTCCCCATAGTTCTCCTTAGGGTAAAGGGAGGACACAAACTAGCGTCCTCCCGTCACCCTAGGCTCAGTATACCGCGAGCTGTAGCTCGCGGTATACTGGGACGTCGCAGCTGAAGCGGATCCCGACAATTATGTCTGGATCCGCCCAGCTGTGTGACTGACAGCTGGCTCTGCCTACCTAGAGGCAGAGCCATGAGAAAACCTCTCTATATGTTTGTTATGTGATCCTATTCACACAACATACAGAAAAATAATGTAAATAAATTATTCTCATTTGATTCCAGGTTTTTCACAGTGATCTGTCCTAATGATCTGTCCTAATGGAAAGACTTAGGACTTACATTTGAGAATTGTGTTTCTCTCATTCACTTAATTAATTAACATACAGCGAACAAACCACCTCAGACCCCTCACAGCCTCTTCATCATTGCATAGAAAGATAAAACTAGAAATTTTAACTCTTAAAACTCTAACTCAAGTAAAAGCAGTTTAAGCTGCAAGAAGCATTTTTTGATGTTTTTGTTTTGCTTATGCTATGTGAACATGTATCAAATTTAAAATAGGTGTTATCCCAATTTGGCTGCGAAAGTGGAAATACACTTTAAGAATGCATTCAAGTACCTTAACTATGAACAAAAATGTATCTTATTTGTGTATCACTCAGGTGTAGATCATCAAATCATCTTTGAATTCATGCTGACACTGTCCTTCCTTCTGGAGGGTGGCTTTTTTGTTCCCCATGGTCCCTGTGTGTGTTATAAAGTAGCCACCGCTCCAAGCTCACTCCTGTGATGGACTACAATTTCATGTTTAGTTTACTAATTTGTATTGAGATTGTAGTCCATCACAGGAGTGAGCTTGAAGTGGTGGCTACTTTACAACACACACAGGGATCAAGGGGAACAAAAGTAGCCACCTTCCAGAAGGCAGGACCGGGTCAGCACCAATTCAGAGATGATTTGAGGTTGAGTTGAGTGATACACAAATAAGATACATTGTTGTTAATAGTTAACCTTCTTGGCGGTATTCCCGAGTGTGGCTCAGGGTTAATTTTCTGTACCATAAGCGGTAACCCCGAGCCACACTCGGGAATACACAGTCTCTTACCTTGTCCCTCGAGCTGCGCTGTTTCCTCCGGCCGGTGCTGGCATCCGTCTTCCGGGTTCCGTTCCTTGCGAGCGTCCGTCTCGCAGGGGGGCGGAACTGGCGGGAGATTGAAAAGTTTAAAAAAAAAATGAAAAAAAACCCCAAAAACAAATAGAATGAAAAAAGGAAAAAAAAAAGAAAAAATCATACTGACAGGGAGGTTAAGGTACTTGAATGCATTTTTAAGATTTAACTTCTAAGTTTAGTGTCACTTTAATAAATTCATAGAAATATAGAAAACGTTACCAGCACACGTATGGTATATATAGTAATAAGTATATGTATACAGTGTGGAAAACAATTATTTGATCCCCTGCAGAATTTGTAAGTTTGCCAACTTACAAAGAAATGAAAGTCTATCGTTTTTATCATAGGTGTATTTTAAATGATACAAAATATCAACCAAAAATCCGGAAAAAACACATCATACAAATGTTATAAACTGAGTTGCAGTTTAGTGAGTAAAAAAAGTATATAATCCCCTACCAACCAACAATAATTCTGGCTCCCATAGACTGGCTATGTGGTAAACAGATTAGTCATGTCAATTTAAGAAGGTGCTCCTAATGACAACTCATTATGTATATGAAGACACCTGTCCACAGAATCTCTTTCTTCTAGGGATGTCCCGATACCACTTTTTCAAGACCAAGTACAAGTACAAGTACTTCCCCTCATGTACTTGCTGATACCTATTATGGATACTTTTTCTTAAAGGGACAGGTGGAATTTTTAACAAAACAATGGGCAACAATTATGTTAATGCCCGATCGTTTTTCAATGTAAGTTTATGATAGCTTGAATGCCCCTAATCTGCTTCCCCAATGTAAGATATGCAGTACCACCAGGTACAGGGAGCACACAACTCTCTTCTCCCTACAGTATGCTGCATAGAGGAGTCAATGGCTATTTCTCATCTCGCATAAATTAATATAATTAGCAAAGGAGACGGGCATTTAAGAGAACCTTTGCTTAGATGTGCATGCCCTTGCCCTATATGATGTATAGCTCACCTATTCAATCTTTTAGTGTTACTCATCATCTTATTTTGACATGACTGCTATCCCTACTAATATATTTTATTGATACACAGGTGGTGCCAGCCTCAAGTTTGATAAGTCAGATGGCTGGATGGTGCTTGGTGTCCTCTGGTGTTCTCTAGTGCAAGCTCTTCTACTGCCAATGTTCCCGTGGGCCTGTGATCGCTACCGAGCCGATGTAAAAGCAGCACAGTACATAGCACAGCACGTAGCACAGGCTCCTTCTCACTTACTGTGGCTGTTCGATAGAGGTGCCTCACAAGGCGCTGAACAATTTTCCTCAGACGTGAGGACATAGTCGGCACTAAGCAGCTGAGTGGAAGAGGAGCATCGCATCACTGCTGCTCCGGTGGGTGGCGCTCCAGGTGGGGTCCTAATGTAGGTGGCCGGTGACTGCCCAGAGGACCCCACCACGGAAGGTAAAGAAAAAACCCCCCAAAAAACATAGCGCAAGCATCAGCGCTATGTATCGGGGCATTTTGACAAGTACTTGTCAATATGCCCTGTATCGGTCCCGATACAGATTCAGCAGCTTGGCATTAAAGCCCACCCAGTGCCCCATAAATGCATTACGTTTGAGTGAAGGTGTTAACATAGATTACATTTTCATAATAATGTTTTCTTATAAACAATGTTATAAAGTTTTTAATGGTTCATGAAAGTATAAATCTGTTTCATTATTTTGTGAAAACTCTACAACAGACCACACTTAGCTTTATAGTTTCAATCAGGTTTAATATAACAAAGTATATAACAGCTTAAAGTCTGGATACTTGGTGACTTGTAAAATGCTATATGCGAATCATAATAAAAGAACAGAGGAGTACAAGATCAGAAAATATTTTGGGAAAAATTAAGATCCTTTTCCTGGTGTGTTGGTTCTTACTGTGAATTGAGCCCATAGTGGTTCAAATAAACAAAAGTACAATTGTCTCTGTCACTACTGTGCAAGGGAATGCCTAGTGGTTTCAGATATGCTGTCCATTTACTATAGCTAGGCCTTAAATACACACATGAGCCTGAGAAGTGATTCATCCCCCCACCCATTATCTATAAACAGCTCTATCGAAAAACAAGAGGAAGACTGAAAGAAAACAGGTTTTGCTGTGCTTTCTCTTTAGAGTCCACAATGCTTTCTGAATTATCTGCCGTGGGTGTGGTTTGGTTTAAATATTTATTTGTAAAACAAAGATTTTATGTAAATAGTAAAAAAGATATAAAACATCAGTTCAAAAACTTAAAAAAAACAAGACAAATTTGACCCAAAGCTATTCCAACTCCTTTTAAATTAGGGAAGGACAAAATGTTACTGCAAATGGAAGAATTCTTGGCAGAATCAAAATGAACCCTCGTTTTGGTCTAGGATGTAAAATAAAAAGTTATACTCTATACTGCTAGACCGGTCCCTGCAGCCTCTCTCCCCCCCACTCCAGCAGAGGAATATCCCTTAGCGTCCTCACATGCTATACACTGCATTAGACATGATGCCTCACAGATCCTTAGAGCGGCTGAGCAGAGGAGCAGAGAGGCAGTAGAGACTACCAGGTGTTTCTGAGGCTAGAGCAGGGCCATAGCAAGAGCAAGGTGAGTGAGGCACTTGCCTTGGGCGCAGGTGTAAGGGGGCACAGCCAGGGCTCAGCGCGGCACGGAGAAGAGGAGCGGCACAGACTGCATCTTCTCCTCTGGATCCCCGCTGCTCTCCCCTGTCTGTATGGGCAGAGACAGCAGGGATCCAAGGAGAAATTGACCACTGAAGCCAGTGGGGGGGGGGAGCTGTCACTTCAGGATGGCCGCCCCCTTCCCCCCCGCTGGCTTCAGTGACAGTGTTTCCTCCTCCGTCCCCACCGCCGGGTTCAATGCTCCATTTCCCCGATGATCGAAGAAGAGGTTGCAGGCTGTGCTGCCCCTCTCTGCATGGCCGAGCAGCTCAGGATGGAGAGCGGAGGATCTGTAAATATTAGTCATATTTACCGATCCTCTGTGTGATGCATAAACACCGGAGTGATCAGCTGATCACTCCAATGTTTGTAAATAACTGGGGACACATAGTACTATATGTCCCCAGTTATGAATGAATAGAAAGTGCTTTACATCATTTCCTGTTCATTCATGAGTTTCTGAATGGGTAGTAGCACTCAGTACAGAGGCTTCTCCCCATTCAGAGATGTGTTACATAGTTACATAGTATTTGAGGTTGAATCAAGACATAAGTCCATCAAGTCCAACCTATTGCGTGTATGCAATTATGTTTGAGCAGGTGTGTGCGTGTGTTTTACTCCATGTGTGATTTTGCTCTTAGGCCTACCTGTACCCCTGTATATTATGGTCTCCGATGAACTCATCCAGGAGTTTCTTGAATGATTCCACACTGTTAGCTGAGATCACTTCCTGCGGCAGCGAGTTCCAGACCTTGACCGCTCTGACTGTGAAGAACCCCTTGCGCCCTGTGTGTTGAAATTTTTTTCCCACCAATTTTTGGTTGTGCCCTCTGGTCTCTATTACGGAGCTAACTGTAAACAGTTTGTTAATAATGTTGCTGTCACCCTTGAATAGTTTATACAAGAAGATCATGTCCTATTTAATTTTAACAACCTTGTTTCATAGTTCAGGTCCTCAAACACCTTAATAAGTTTGGTTGCCCTCCTCTGGACTTTTTCCAGCTCAAGGACATACTTTCTGAGTATTGGTGACCAAAAATGGACCGCATACTCCAGATGTGGCCGAACCAGTGATCTGATAGTTGATAGTAAATATTTTCTGAATGAATGGGAAGCATCTGTACTGAGTGCTTTCCATTAATTTAGAACAGAGTCTGCAGAAAAAGAGATTAAGGATGCTGTTTCCTCAATTTCTTTTTCTATTTTAAAAGGGAAATGTCAAGCTCCTCCAACAGTAAAAAAAATTAAAAATAAAAAAATAATGAAAAAATAATATATACAATAATAAAAAATCAATAAAAAATCAATAAAAAATAAAAAAAACACATCCTGGAGGCGGGGTGCATTATGTCATATGACGCCGCTCGTGTGCGGCGTCGGGTGACGTCACACGCCAGTTGGGGGGGGCACATTTTTTTGTTCTAGCTTCGGTCGCAAAAGGAGCTAGCTATGGTCCTGGTAAGTTACAGTGAGTATTCCTTTTTTTTACATTTTTAACATGAAGTTAACCCTTACAGTGCGGGGGTAGTGCCACTGCAAGGCTTAATTGTGTTTCTGCCTGGAGTACTTATTTATATAGTAATGAAAGGCTAGTCCTGGTTGATGTTTGTATAAAGCCGGACCCAGGACATAAAATATAGTTTTATAAGTTAATGCCTTTTGAATGAAACATTTGCATAAAGGAATGTTATTGTAAGTATAAAGGTATGGCTTTCATAAATCAGAAAATGGTACTTATATTTCTGTGGACTTGAAGATTTTGTCTTTTAAAGCCTGGGAATTGTGGCAGCATTCGGTGTACAATCTTTTTAAGTGATGCTCTAACTTCTTTGTTTCTTAGACTATAGATAATAGGATTTAGACCTGGAGTTACAACGGTATAAAAAACTGAGACAATTTTTTTCATATTTGAAGAATAGCTGGAGTGGGGCCGGACATACATAAATATCATTGTCCCATAGTAGAGTAGTACTACAGTCAGGTGAGCTCCACAAGTGGAAAAACTCTTATTATGGACACTCTTAGACTTTATTTGAAGTACAGATATCACAATGAACACATAGGACACCAAAGTCAACATCAAACAGCCAAAGAGCACAATAAGAGACAGAATAAATATGGAGATTTCTGTCAGGTAGATATCACTACATGACAGCTCCAGGAGAGGCGGGATGTCACAAAAAAAGTGGTTTATTTGGCGAGAGTCACAGAAATCTAACTGGGAAATGAGCAGAGCAGGAATTAGACCTGTCAGCATTCCAGTTACCCATGAGCATGTAACTAGCTGGAGACATGTTTTGGTGTCCATCAGACTAGAATAGTAAAGAGGCTTACAAATGGCCATGTAACGATCATAAGCCATTGCTAGCAGCAAATAACATTCAGTAGCTCCAAATGTGACAAAGAAGAACAGCTGAGTCATGCATCCAGTAAAGGAGATGTTATTGCTTTTCAGCAGTAGGTTGGCTAAAAGTTTAGGCACAATTGTAGTTGTGTACCATATCTCCAAAAAAGAGAAATTGCTAAGGAAGAAATACATTGGTGTCTGCAGAGACTGATCCATGATCACAACAGTCATAATAATGAGATTTCCACAGAGGGTCACTAGAAATATAAAAAGGAATACAATGAACAGAGGGATGTTAGCATCTGTATCATTTAACAGTCCCACAACTGTAAAATAATTTTCACTGCTCAGGTTGGCAACATACATAGTGCAGGAGGTGAAAGCATGTAGCAGCCATCCAATTGACACCTGTAGAAAGAAAGATGGGAAAATGTAGCAATCTGCAGATATAACTATATCACCTATAAGGTTGACTGCTCAAAGTTATTTTTAAAGCCTTTTCCACTTGCACATTTTTTCATTATCCACATACATCAAAAGTGGTGATAATGTTCAATGTTTTAAAAGATGACCATTGAAAACATAAGCATGCAATACATCTTTTGTTCATGAATAACTGCAGATTCCTAACACTAGGGGATATTTTTCTAAACAATTTGCAAAGCAATTTGTCCTGCAAAACTGCATGTACTTTCATTTTGTGCAAATGGGGGCAAAAAAGAATGTTATTAGTATATTTTCTTTCCAGGTCCAATGTAATGTCAGAAAAATACTGCATTATGGCCTCTAGATGGAGCCGAGCATCTTTGGAAAAAATAATTATTTCTCCATGCAGCTTTTTGCTGTGTTTTTTAAATGGACTACATTGTACTGTTTTGTGACATCACATTCAGCTTTAAGGCATCCCCCAAGCATGTTATTTAAAGGCTTTGTGTATTTTCAATGTTGCCCTTAAGGTAGCATGAAACTTTAAGAATGTGATAAATGTGTTACTTATGTACAGTAATACAAATTTATTGCCGAATAAACAAGCCCATAGCAGCAAGGTAAAGAGTGCTCTGGTCCATAGTGGCTATACTGGGGTAACATCTAGATTGGCTAAAATCCAGTTAACAGGAATAGATCTTGAAAATAGTGGAAGCAAATCATTGGCAGAAGAATTGTTTTCTACTATACCAATCAAATACATTCGCTTTGCATGTAAAGCTTATAAAGTACAAACCCCTTTTTGACAGTGTAATGGAATGATAAATGTTTTCACAATGACACAATAAATCTAACTTTTGATAATTAAACAGCTCAGATTGTATTTATGAACTATATACATATAAAGAAAAAGCTAATGTTTAAGTGCATAGACACCATATAGCCAACCTGACTTTAAAATCAGCTCTCTTAGCGTTTCTTTCATTTTCCATTAAGTACCCTGTGATTGAGAATGATAAAAAGCCTTTCCCTTTCTCCCTATAGTTAGATGTGATAGGTAGCCCTAATATTTCCTTAACTAAGCTACACTTTAATTATGAATGGAAAATCACAGGTAAATTTAAATTAATATGAAATGATGATGATATAGCAAAACTTTCTTTTTGGGTAGCTCTGGAACTGCTTAATCCAGTGATTCTGAGGTGAGGGAGACTGGGGATATTGTACAGGGCCATTCAAGTGAAAGACCATAGAATGAGATTTGTGTATACGTACACAAATGAAATATTTTGTTTGGTCAATTTACTCATGTAGTTTAGAAAAATTGGTTACAGTGCGGTATTTACACTATTGGTTTTACTTACTGTCTCTTACCCACAGAATAGTTGTGAAGCAAACTCAGAGTAATCGGCTTCGGTGTAGTGAATGTTTGTGTGAGCAACCTCCTCTCTCATCTCAGGCTAGGGAATTTTCCAGAGCTATATGTATGTTTTACAAACCCCTTGGAGAAAAATATACCATGTTCCCAGTAGATCCGAGGTAAAAGGGGCATTAAATATACTGCATCTGAGTTCCTAGAAAATCTTCCTTTGAGAATCCATGTATCATAATAAAACAGATGAGCTTACTGCATAATTCCATATTATTCATTCTGGATATTGTATTCCTTACTTTTATACATTTGCATTCATTTGCAAATTTTCCAGTGTTTTTTTGGTAGGATTAAAATAACTCTTTTTCTTCTGTGAGTGAAAGCTCAAATAAAAACACCAGTTAATAATAATACATGTATTCAGTAAAAATAATGATATGCATGTTTAAATGCAGCTGGTGTAAGTGCCTGAATGTGAATTGAAATCAACCTAATGCAAATGCCCTGTACACCAAGGGGAAGTTCAAGAAACGTGAAGTCATTATTTCCTTTCTCTTGGCTGGTTGCCTGTAAAATTTAAACGTAGTCCTATAAATAAAGTAGAAAATGCGCTGCCCTTAAAAGCACATTCTAGTGATAGTTTTTCTTAAATGATCACATAACATATGGGGTAGAGCTTGTAGAAAACGATGTCATGCACCAAAGCATGTCAGGTGTGTGTAGTACAGCATATGGTCAAAACATGATCCTACATCTAGAAAAGTCAAAAATAGCCAAGTCATCCAAACTGATGCTTGAAATTATAGCATCACTTGTAATTATGTGTCCAAATTTATCCACCCTTAGTTTGGGTGTGCAAGGAAGCAGTCCATTTGAACAGACCTATTGGGCCAGAGTAAGAAAAACGTGTGAACCCAAATTAAAGGATTCAATTTGGTGAGGACCAGGATCCAATAATGACTCTGCAATCCATTATTGAATCTTAAATTAAGTTTGCAAATAAGCCTTGTGTAAACAGGCCTAATAGGTGTCCATAGACAGCTTAAACTAGCCAGAGTTATGGAGTAAATCCCATCTGCCACATAAATGCTTCTTATGTAGAGATGAGGCCCTGGTTCTTATTATTGGTGGCTTTATATATATATCTTCTGGTTGATTTGACATCAGTGATCATGTTTATCATGCTGCAGCAGGTTCTATACATTGTACAGATGTGCCACTTTACAGGCAGATTAAGGGGACCCCCCAGGCATGATATTTTAAGTAATTTTTCATTTTTTGTGATGTTAAAATCACTTAAAGTGAAACAATAATCACTGTATTTTTTAAAAGTTTTTTCTTTAATTGATACATGTCCCCCAGGGCAGTACCAGAATCCCCATACCCTTTTTATGACCAATAACTTGCATATAAGCCATCAAAAAGGGGACATTTGATTTTCCGAGTTCTGGTCCCATAGACTTGGATTGAGTTCGAGTTCGAACTTTTTCCATGTTCTAAAGTTCAAACTGGAACCAAACTCAGGTGTGTTCGGACAATCACTAAATGGATGTACATTGTTGGACCTTGTGATTGACAATGGATTTACATTGCTGAACAATGTGATTGGCCCCCAATGATGTTTATTGGGAAAACATCTTCAGGCAGTGTGTCCCTTGATTGACAGTGGATTTACATTGCTGATGTAGCACCCCATAAGCAGGAGTGCTTAGTTAATTAAGTATTGTAGATTGTAATCAGTCTGATGCTGATTTGTAGTCTAGGCTTATCTGGTTTCCCATAATCAATCTGTTATCGTTTGCATCTTCCTGCTGCTGGGTGTTCCCTGGTCGCAGGGCACAGCAACCAATAAGAGATTGTTATGAGTTTGTATGTCTCCCTAGCCAATTACTGGGAGGTTAATGGCCAGTGGTGCATGCTGGAAGAGGAGATAAGTACTTTGGGTTGACCATTTGAGCTCATTCTTCCTCCCCCAGGCCCTGCTATGGACTGTCTGATTTGGCTAGGCCTTAAGCCCAGGGGACTAGCCATGTGCTCACACTGATGCCTGAGTCTGGGGGCCCAGTGGCTACTACTGATACCAAGGATGAAGATGACTAATGACTTCTGATTCAAGTACTGCTCGACCAGGTGCTCTACAAACAGATTGCCATGTTTGGCTTAAAGGTCCTAGTCTGTGATGGCAGCAGTTACTCTATCCTGCCACTTAAAGGAGTCTACACCAGCCTGGATGATCCTGACCCTCAATGTCTCTCCCTGAAGTCCATCAATAAAGTTCCTCAGCATCATATCTACAGTCTGGACCTTGCTTTTATCGATCACCATGGAGGGTTGTAATTGCTATTGTGGCAGCAATACATCAAATCCCCTAGACAGGCTATAATGATGACCCACATTTTCTCTGCAGCTCCTTAGGGGGTGCATTACACTGAACAATGTGATTGGCCCCAAAGATGTTTCAGGTAAAAACATCTTCAGGCAGTGGGTGATTGAAAATGGATTTACATTGCCGGACCTCATGATTGACACTCATGTTAAGGTATGTGTAGAGACAAAAACCTATATGTCAACTTCTACAAAATAATCCATGTTTTTGATATTCAGATATCATCAGCCACTACTATGTAAGTCACATTTTTCATAAAAGCAAAAAAATCACCGCTCCAATTCCACCAGACTGCAGATCAACATAGACATCGGTTGCAGGCTGTTGTGTGCTACCACTTGTCAAACAATATCTCTACAATCAGCTGCACGAAACCGAGGTCCAAAAAAATCCAACTTTATTGTAAATTCCATGCAAAGTTCAAAATACAAGGTGTACACCACCATAGTATCTTTCCCGCTCTCACGCGTTTCACCACCTGGGCTTAATTAAGATTAACATCTATGAATAAGCCCAGGTGGTGAAACATGTGAGAGGCGTTGGAGTGGGAGAGTTTACTATGGTGGTGTATACCTTGTATTTTAAACTTTGCATGGAATTTACCACAATAAAGTTAGATTTGGACCTTGGTTTCGTGCGACTGATTGGAAAGATATCACATTTTTCATGTTACACAAAACCTTAGTCCTTCATAAAAATGCATTTTAAACAGTATAAAGGTTAAAATATAAATCCCTCCCTTTTGAAAACATGTAAAACAATCCCCAACTATTGTTGAGCGGGGCCCTGTAAGTATCGAAATTATAATATCACTCGTTTTATAGTATTATATTCAATCCGATCATCATCCAGGTGTGTCCACCTAATGAACGGAGCAGCTTCTCATATTATCATACCGCGTTTCCCCGCAAATAAGACACACCCACAACCCCACAACCACACTAGGTCTTATTTTCAGGGGATATCTTATTTTTTTTTTAATATGCAACAAAATGTACAACCATCTAAAGTTATTCATGTACAACAATCCAAAGTTATCTGGTATCACTCCGCCTGTCACAGTAACTGGGGCTATAGAGGAATATCGGCTAATGTGGCTCTGCTCCCTCCGCTGCCGCAGCCTTGGTTTCAACAGCGCCGGCTTCCTTTGCCACCAGGGACAGTGGTACCAGCGGTGCGGCA